CGCCTGGCAGTGCCCGCTGTCCCTGAGGTGCCACCCTTGTGGCCGTACCTTGCTCCTGCACAGCGCCACCAGGCAGGTGACGAGGTTGCTGTCCCTGCGTGCCGGGGAGGGCTGGGCTGGAGGGGAGCTGGCAGCGGTGCCCGGGGCATGCTCCAGACCCTCTTCCCTGGGGCTCTCCGGGGCTCTCCTCCCGTTCAGGACGCTCTTTCCCTGCAGAGGGAGAGGAGCAGCAAAGCATTGCAGCCACAACCTTCCTCCTCCTCCTCATCCTCCTCACGCCGAGGAGCTTTGTGGCAGGGAGGAGGCTGAAAAATGACCCCAATGACAGGAGCCCAAACCCCACAGGGGACCCCACACGGTCCCACCTCCAGGATGTAGGGCAGCAGGCTGGCATCCTGCTGGATTTTGGAGCAGAGCACGGCTGCGAACTGCACCTCCTCCTTCTCGGTGCCGGAGCCCAGGCGGTCCCCGCTGAGCTGGAGCAGCTTCTGGGGAGCAGGGGTGGGGACGTTGGGGTGCTGGGGGCTCCCCCACCCCGTCCCCGTGGCTGTCACCTCCCGGGGACAGGTGGCACCTCACCTGCACGGGCCGGTGGACGTTGAGGTAGTGCAGGAGCGGGTGCTGCAGCTGCCCCAGCAGGCGGCTGAAGAAGAGCAGGACCTGCTGCCTCATCCCGGGGGGATACTGGCACAGGGACACGGGGACAGCAATCAGCCACGTTCCCTGATGTCCCCATAACTGCCCCAAATCACCCCAAAAAGATCCCTCGCTTCCCTTTAACAATGAGGGGTTTAACTCAATTCTCTGCGTCGAAACAAAAAAAAAAATAAAAATCTGGGGGATTATTTCCCAGCACCCCAAAACCCCAAATCCTCCTGGGTGTGAAAGGCCCAGCGTGTCTCCACTTCTATTTGAATAAAAATCTATTTCTAGGGGCCTTGTTGCTGTTATTAGCAGCAAAGGGGCAGCAGAGCCATTATATTTATTATATATTTGGCCAATATTTACTTTTTTTCCACACCTGGCACCTCATCTTGCAAAGCCAAGTGCCAGATGTTTCTATTTTTTTTTTAATATCTGTTTTTATTTTTATTTTTCAAATATCTGTGTGCCAGGTATTTTTAAAAAACCTTCCCGTGCAAGCAGGGATGTGCTGAGGTGCAAGCTCCCAGAAAGGATCCCAGTGGGGAACTTCAGCAATCCAAGACCCTCCCAAAAAAGCCAAGTTTTCCATCACAAAAAGCCAATTTTCCCCAAAAAGGCCAATTATCCCCCTAAAAAAGGCCAATTTTCCAAAAAAACACCAAAAACCCAAGTCCTGTGACCATCTCACACTTCACAAACTCCCATTCTCTGTAAAAATGCTCCAAAATTAAAACCACCGAGGGGCACCATGCGAAGGAGCCGGGAAAGGCTGCGGGTTCGGCCTCTCCCGAGGGATTTTCCCAATTCCCCTGCTCACCTCCGCCTTTCCCAGCGTTCCCAGTGTTTCCAGCAGCTTGTGCTGGAGCAGGTACTCGAGGCACGGCCCCGTGTCCCCCGGCGGGCGCTGCTTCTCCTCGTGCACCAGGATGTCCAACATCTGCCGCAGGCGCCACGGGATGTCCGTCTGCCGCGCCGGAACGCTCTCGTCTGCGGGCACCGGGAGTCGGGCATCGGGGATTTGGGATCCAGGGATTCGGGGAGTCGGGGACTGGGGATTTGGGGTCCAGGGATTTGGGGATTCGGGGATTGGGGATTTGGGGTCCAGGGATTTGGGGATTCAGGGATTGGGGATTTGGAGTTCAAGGATTCAGGGTTCTGGGATCCAGGGATTCAGGAACTGGGGATTTAGGGTCCAGGGATTTGGGGATTCAGGGATTCAGGGTTCAAGGATTCAGGGATTCGGGAATTGGGGATCAGGGATTTGGGGATTCAGGGATTCAGGGACTGGGGATTTGGGGATTCAGGGTTCCAGGTAACCAGGGATCCAGGGATTCGTGGGTTGAGGGATCTGGGGATTCTGGGATTTCAGCATTCAGGGATCAGGGATTCGGGGATTCATAGATTCAGGGGTTCAGGGATTCGGGGATTTGGGGGTTCAGGGATTCAAGGATTCGGAGATCCAGAGTTTCAGGGGTTCAGTGATTCAGGGATTTGGGGATCCAGGGATTCGGGGATATTCAGTGATCCGGGGATCAGGGGTTCGATGATCCAGGGATTCAAGGATTCAGGGGTTCAGGGATTTGGGGATTCAGAGATCAGGGATTCGGGGATTCAATAATCCAGGGGTTCAGGGATTCAGGGATTTGGGGATCCAGGGATTCGGTGATACCGGGATTCAGAGACTCAGAGACCGGGGGATTTGGGGAATCAGGGATTTGGGAATTCAAGGATTCAGGGATCCAGGGATCTGGGGATTCATGGATTCAGAGATTCAGGGATCGGGAGATTCATGGATTCAGGGATTCAAGGTTGGGAGGCTGAGGCGGGGGCATGGCAGCGGGAGGGATGCCCCGGTGAGGTGCCAGCCGTGCCAGTGGGGTTCTGCCAGGAGTTTTCCCTGATCCATGCCATCCCTAAATCCGGCTCCTCCGGAGCGGGAACGACGCTAGATGGCAATGTGAGGATGGAACAGCTGCTTCCGCTCCGGCCTAGGACGCTGCCGGACATCCCGCTCCCCCCGACGCTGCCCGTTCCCCGGGTGGGCACCGGAGACACCCCGGCACAGCCAGGAGCGGGATCCGGCTGGGAACTGGGGCCGGAGCTCTCCCGGCGCCGTTCCAGCGCTGCCGGGGCGCAGCGCGTTCCCGAAGGGACGTGTCCCAGCCTGTGCCGGGAGTGTCCCCACCCACCCCAAAGTCCCCGTGCCGACCCCACCGCGCTGCCAGGGGGTCCTGGCTGGGCAGGGCAGAGAACCCCGCGGGGGTAAATCCTGCCGGGGTTTGGGAAGGGTGTCCCGTGGCCCGTCCCCACGTGCCAGGCCAGCCACAGTGCACTGGGGTCCTGTCCCAGGGCTTGGGGTTCCGTGGCAGGGTGCAGGGATTTGTCCCAGGACACGGGGTCCTGTCCCGGGATATGTCCCCTGACCCCGCCCCAGGGCACAGGGATCATTCCTAGGCCGGGGACCCCGTTTTAGGACACAGGGACCCTCTCCCAGGACACACGGTCCCCTCCCAGGACATGGGATCGTGTCCCAGGGAATGGGGTCCGCTCTTAGAGCACTGCGACCCCCCCACCTCCTTGGGCACAGGGACCTTATCCCCGTTTTTAGGACACCCTATTTTAGGATACAAGGACCTCTCCTAGGACACGAAAACTCTGTTCCCAAACCACAAGGATTTATTCCCACCTGAGACCCCATCCCGGTGAGAAAGAACTCCATCCCGGGAAACAGGGACCCCATCCCGGACAAAAGCACCACAAGCCCGGGGCACCGGGACCCTCTCCCCGCGCCCCACTCACCTGTGGCCTCCAGGTAGTAGCCGGTGATGCCCGTCCAGTGCTCGGTGAAGGCTTCCAGCAGGTCCACGCTGGGCTCCCGCTGCTCACACCGGGACCGGGGTCAGGCGGGCACGGAACCCCCCACTCCCGGTGCCGGTCCCGGTCCCGTTCCTCCCGCGTCCCCCCCGGCCCCGCTCACCGTCTCCACCGCCTGCTGCAGCAGCGCTCCCAGACGGCTGAGCATGGCTGGGACCCCCGGGACCGGCCCCGGCCCCGGTCCCGACCCCGCCGCCGGCCCCGCCGCCCCCGGCCCCGCCCCGGCCGGGGCGGAGCGGCAGCGGAAGTCCAGGTGCGGAGCGCGGCCCGCCCCGCCCCGTCCCGCCCCCGGCGGCTCCGCTGCGGCTCCCGAAGGGATGGGCCGGGCTGGGAGCGAGAAGGGTGGAGGACGGAGGGGCTGGGAAGGTGCCTCAGCCCTAAAATTGCTCCGCGGGCAGTTCTGGATGGGGTGGACCCAGGGCACCGGGGTGGGGATGGACCCCACACACCTGGAGGGGAACAAACCCCCCACACACCGGGCGGAGGCATCATCCTACCCGGGATGGACCCCACAAACCCTTCACTGGGATGGGGATTGACCCCACAAACCCTTCACCGGGATGGGGACTGACCCCAGAACCCCTTCACCAGAATGGGGATTAACCCCACAAATCCCTTCACTGGGATCGGGACTGACCCCAGAAACCCCTTCACTGGGATCAGGATTGACCCTACAAACCCCTTCACCGGGATGGGGATTGACCCCACAAACCCCTTCCCTGGGATCGAGACTGACCCCACAAACCCTTCACCAGGATCAGGATTGACCCCACAAACTTCTTCACTGGGTGGGGAGTGACCCCACAAACCCTTCACCAGGATCAGGATACCTCCCATAAACTCTTTAACCAGGATTGGGATTGGCCTCACAAACTCCTTCACCGGGATGGGGATTGACCCTACAAACCCCTTCACCGGGATGGGGATTGACCCTACAAACCCCTTCACCGGGATGGGGATTGACCCCACAAACCCCTTCCCTGGGATCGAGACTGACCCCACAAACCCTTCACCAGGATCAGGATTGACCCCACAAACCCCTTCACAGGGATGGAGCCCGCACCCACCAGGATAATGACAAGGACCCCCCCTCCCCTGCCCAGCTCACCATTTACCACAGCACAACCCAAGTTTTATGACATTTTTTTTTAATTCTCTAAAAAACAAAAACATTTCTCCAATTAAAACCAAGCCCTGACAAGCACAGCTGTTGGAAAACTGCCCAGGGCCCAGCCCGGGTCCTGCTGACTCCAGGGAATGGACAATTGGATGCTCCCAAACCTGTGTTCCCCAGGGTTTACCCACACCCAGCCCTGGAAATTCGGGGTCCTGGAGGGGGATTGGGGTGGGCCCACACTGGGGACAGAGCCAGCAGCTCCTGAAGTTGTACCCAGGGATTGTGTACCCCAAAAACGAGGCGCTGGGACGGGTGGGGATGCAGCAGGGAAACCCCCGGGTGGAGAGCTGATATGTGTGTGTCGATATATCTGGATATAAAAAATAGATGTGCGTAGTTGTAGCGTTGATACTGACGGATACATTCAAATTCCAGGCTGGTCCCAGGCTGGTCCTGCACGATCCACGTGCAGCCCGATGGTCTCTGGGAGACTCCTGCTGCGTGCTCACATCGCAGATTTCATCTCCCACTCCTGGACAAATTGGGGGTCAATCCCTCATTTCCCTGCTCTGTGGGATCCCCCAAACCCTTCTGTCCTGGATTGCCAGGCGCATTGTATTCCGTTTGCCATCTGCATGGCACCTTCCCATTCCCCCGGATCCCGGAGTTACCTTTGTCTTCCTCATCACATTTCCCTTCCCCGCCACGACCGGGGATGGCGGCGGCCTCAGGGCGCTCCTGGCCGAGGTGGTGCGCTTCAGCAGCGGCCTGAGGAACGATCCCTGAGGGAAAAGCAGCGGAGGAAGGGTCAGGAGTGCCCCCCAAACCTCACCATCCCTGTAATTCACGCCTCCTCTGGTGTCCCCCACCTCGGAGCCAGCCGAGCTGGCGGTGGCGGTGATGTGACCCTTCAGTGACTTCCCGAGCGCCAGCAGGTTCATCTCGGAGCCGGCTTTCAGCCTGCCCTTCACGCCCCTCTCCAGCTGCCCCACCTTCTCCTCCAGCTTGGGAAACGCTCTTTTCCCTGCAAGGACAGCAGGAGCGCTGCCAAGGCCGGGCACCACAACCCTGCCAGCTGCTCCGGCCAGGAGCGGGCAGCGCCCGGCCCCAGAGTGTAGGAATGTGCTCTCTGTTGAGGGAGTGACTAAATTATCTTTTGTCTTTTTAAAAAGGAAAAAAGCTCAGAAGTTTCTCTCTTTAATTGGGTAAAAAGACAATTCATAGGACTTAGGGGACTTTACTTTAAACTTAAGGATAGCTAATTGGACAGAAGCTAAAAAGTCTTGCTTAGGCAATGTCAGAACCCAGGACATTGCTCTGACTGCCCTGGATGGCTCCAGACCCTGGCAGGGGGCTCAGAGACCTTGGCATGGAGTCAAAGACACCTGTGCCTTTGATTTTAACCCACAGAAAAAATTACCAGCTTTGTGTGAAGATTTACAAGCCACAAGAGTTTGAGTAGAATGATAGTTAATTTGTCACAGGGTTGAAAAGTAGAATTTTGGGGGTTTTAGAATGGAATCGAAGGCACAGACTCTGTGCCAAGGTCTCTGAGCCCCCTGCCAGGGTCTTGAGCCATTCAGGGCAGTCAGAGGAATGTCCTGGGCTCCGACAAGGCACTTTGCTAGAAAAAGAAGAGAACAAAAGAACTAAGGGTTTTTGTAGGGTGTTTTATGAGAAGCAAGAGCTTTTCGCCCTCAGCTCAGGTTTTCTCTGTAAAGAGCTTTGTTATTTTGCCTTTTATTAAAACTCTTCTGTTTCTAACACTACTACAGAAGCCATCTTGCTGTTTTTGTGCTATCTGAGCTATTTTAGGTGTGAAGCATTTCTCTGAGAGCTCACAAGCCCTAGCTCGAAGGGATCATAATACCACCAGAGCCCCTGGGCGCTCCTACCGACGAGGACATCCAGCCCCTCCCGCGCCCCCTTCCTCTGGGGCAGGGTCAGGGTGTGCTGGGAGAGGCAGAAATCCCTGCTCTGCAGGCTGGGGCTGTCCTTCGACAGCTGGGCGCTGGCAGGCCTGGCCCGGAGAGCTGCTGGTGCTGCTGGGGAGGAAGGGAAGAGAGGGAGGGTCAGGAGGAAAGGCAGGGAGATGGTGGGAAAAAAGGGAAGAGGAAGGGTGATCAGGAGGAAGGGAAGAGAAATGATGATCAGGAGGAAGAGGAGGGAGGGTGAGGAGGAAAGGAAGAGACAGGATGATGAGGAAGGGAAGAGAAAGGGTGATCAGGAGGAAGGGAAGAGGAGGGAGGGTCAGGAGGAAGAGCAGGGGAAGGATGGTGGGGAGGAAAGGCAGGGGAAGGATGCTCAAGGGACAGAGCAGAGGAGGGACACTGGGGAGAAAGGGAAGAGAAAAGATGATCAGGAGGAAGGGAAGAGGAGGGAGGATGAGGAGGGAGGATGAGGAGGAAAGGAAGAGAAAGGATGATCAGGAAGAAGAGAAGAGAAAGGGTGATCAGGAGGAAGGGTGGATGGGGGAAGATCAGAAAGAAGGAAAGAGAGGAAGGGTCAGGAGGAAGAGAAGAGAAAGGTCTATTATCCCCCCCCCAAAAAAAAGCTGATTTTCCCAAAAAAAAACCCAAACCCTGTGACCACCTCACAGTTCACAAACTCCCCTTCACAGTAAAAACGCTCCAAAATGAAAATTACTGAGGTGCACCATAGAGCAGCTGGGAAAGGCTGTGGGAATGATCCTGAATAATCAGGGGGAAGGGAAGGGAAAGGATTATCAGGGAGAAGGGAAGGGAAGGGAAGAGAAGAGAAGAGAAGAGAAGAGAAGAGAAGAGAAGGAGGAAGGGAAGAGAAAGCAAAATCAGGAGGAAGGGAAGAGGAGGAACGCTGGGGAGGAAGGCCAGGGGAAGGACACAGAAATCCCATCTCTCATGGGCACCGCAGCCTCCATGCCAGCCCGGGGAGCTGGGGAGGGTGGGGACACCCCTGGCTGGAGCACCCAGCCCCTCTCACCTGCCTGCGCGGGCCGGGCACCGCCCGGGGCGGGGCTGGCACAGGAGGGCAGGGCAGACACGGGTCTCCGGCGCTGCCCCGGCGCTGCCCGGTCCAGGCTCTGCTGCTGCGGAAGGAAGCCCGGGAGAGGCCCGTGGGCAAGGGGACGGTGGGAGTGGATCCCCCCACGCTGAGGGGCACGAGTGGGGGGCAAAGGGCACCAGCAGAGGTTACCAGCTGCTGCAGCCGCTCCGCGTTGGAGTAGAGATGTTTGGGGCTCTCAGCTGGCGGGGGCTGCCCGAAGGGATCGTCCATGTAGGCGTTGGGGGTGGGGACGCGGCGCAGCAGCAGCCCCCTGCAAGCAGGAGGGGATCGCGTTACCTCCCACACCCCACACGGAGCTGGGGCCGGGGGTCCCAAAGCCCTTACCCGGCAGCGGGGCGGCTGCTCGGCCTGGGGGGTCTCGGGGGGGGCCCATCAGCCTTCTTTGGCTCCACTCCTCCCCTGGCCTGCAGGGTCTTCAGCCAGGCTTCCCTTTCCTCGTCCGAACGGGCCTGGTGTGGGGCAGAGTCTGGACTCAGGGGTGTCCCTGCAGCAGGGTCTGGGCACAAGGGGTGTCTGCCAGGTCAGGGTTTGGGCTCAGGGGGTGCCCCCGGGGCAGAGTCTGGGCTCAGGGGTGCCCCCGGGGCAGAGTCTGTGCTGAGGGGGTGCCCCTGCAGCAGTGTTCGGGCTCAGGGGGTGCCCCCAGGGCAGTGTAAAGCCCGGGCTCAGGGGCTGCCCCCCCGGGGTAAGGCCCGGGCTCAGGGGGTGCCCCCCGGAGGGACACGGGGGTGCCCTGCTGGTCACTCACCTGCAGCAGGGCGAGCTCCCGGCCGCGCTGGGCGATGCGGATCCGGAGGTTTTGGGGGGAGCCGGCGGCCGCCCCGGGGGACACCTCGCAGCCGTCCAGGCGCAGGGCGCACACGGGGCGCTGGGCAGCGCCGGGCTCCGGGAACATGCGCAGGGCTCCGTGCCGGACCGCGCACCACAGGCGCTGCCAGCGCCCGCGCAGCCGCACGGCCAGGAACCCTGCGGGCAGCCCGGTCAGCGGGCACGGGGGGCGGCACCCCCCTCACCCCGTCCCCTCGCAGCCCCCACCTCCTTTGGCGTCCTCTCCGGGCCGCGGGCTGCGGGCAGGGCTCTGCCGGGAGCGGTTCTCCTCCTCCTCTTCCTCCTTGGCGAGCTGAGAGTGAGGATGGGGGGAGCCCCAGCTCTGTGGGTTCTCAGCCTCCTGAGCCCTGACCCCCTCCCCAGGGCAACGCTCCCCGGAAGGAGCCCAGGATATGGGGTTGGGGTGTATTCCCGAGCCGTTCCCGTTCCTGGGTTTGCCGGGGGACCAACTCACCCTGCTGAGCCTCGAGGAAGGGGACGCGGGGACACTGAGGGCTGCCAGCCCGCTCGGGGCATCGCTGCTCACCTCCTCGATCACCTGCCGGGGGAAACGGGCAGCGCTGCACCCCGCGCTCCGGCTGCCCGGCTAAAAAAGCTCCGCACAACCCCGAGAAGGGAACTGGGGACACACCGGACCATCCCCAGCCCCCCGGGAGCACCGGAGCAGGGCTCTGCCCCCACTTCCCCCTGCCCGCCCCGCTCCTGCCCGGCTGCAACACCTCCAAACCTTCCTCCAGTCCTCAGCCTGCTGCCGGCTCTGGAAGCCGATGACCAACACCTCTCCTGCCGTCCCTGTCACCTTCAGGGCGTGGGGCATCTTCTTGCCCCGCTTGTCCTTGTAGGTGACCCGGCAGCCGCGCAGGTCCAGCTCCAGCACCGGCTGCAGGTCAGCGGCGCACCTGAAGCACTGGGGGAGGCACGGCGGGGTCAGGGGGGCACGGAGGGGCTGGTGGGGGGCACGGAGTCCCCGTAGCACCCTCCATCCCTTCATCCATCCTCCTCCTCAGCCGCTCACCAGCAGCACGTGCTCCCGGACGATGAAGAGCTGCTTCGCCCACTGCCCGAGCCAGCGCTTCCTCCAGAGGAAGCCGCAGAGCTGCGGCTCGGGGCGCCCGGGGGGCTCGGTCTCGCCGCTTGTGGCCGATGGCCAGCGCAGGTAGTGGGCCCTATCCGTCACCCCTTCCTCCTCCTCTTCCTCCTCTCCGTACGACTCGTAGTGGCTGCTGTCGCTGTCGCCACCGCCTGGGAGCCGGGATGGGGTTAGGGCGGGGGGGCGCGGGGCTCTGGGGAGGGGGCGCGGGGGAACCTCACCGGTTCTGCCATAGCCGGGGGGTTCGGCGTCTTCGTAGGAGTCATCGGCTGGGGGGGCCGGGGGGACGCCCGGCTCCTTGTTCTGGAGGTACAAGGGGTGTTCCAAAGGCGCTGCCCCCCGGGCAACCTCGCAGGGTCCCCAAGTCACTGCCGGGGCCGGGTGGGCACCAAAAAACCTTCCAGTCTGGTTGGACCCCCTCCGAGAGCAAGACTGGCCAGCGGTGCCATCCCTGGCATGGCCGAGCCCCTCTCCCACCCCTCTGAGCCCCCCAGCCCCTCGCTGCCCCCTCTCACCGCTCCGTGCGGGCTCGGGGCGCTGCCCGGGCGGCACTCGCAGGTTCTGCCTCCCGCTGCATCCGCGCTCCTGGAGCCTGCGGGGAAAAGCAGCACCGGCAGCGCCGTGCTGGGGGGCTGAGGGGTCGGGGACCCCCCAAACCACGAGTGGAGGAGGAGATGGGGGGTGGATCGGATCGTGGGACTCACCCGGACTGCTCCGGCCCTGCGGGGTCCCCGGGGAGGGCGAGAGGCAGCGCATGATCATGTACTCTGCATCCTCTGCTGCGGGGGCAGCGCCGGGTCACGGCCCCGCTCCCGCGCCCGCCCCGCTGCCCACCGGGCACCGGCCGGGGGCTCCCCCCGCCCCCAGAGCCGCACTCACACGGCGGGCCCTGCAGCCGGGCCAGGAGGTCGGACACGGATCTTTTCTTGACCCGAGCTGCGGCGCTGAGGCTCTCGCGGTCCAGGATGAGCAGGAAGGAGCGCAGGTCCGACAGCAGCTTGTCCAGGTCTGCAGGGGACAGGGACGGCGACGTGCCACTGCGCCCTCCAGGCACCGTGTGGGCACGGGTCCCCATCGCTGCCCCCGCACTGGGCACGGCTGGGGTGCCCCTGATGCCCTGAGGGGTCCCCGATGCCATGGGGTGCCCCCCATGCCATGAGGGGTCCCCGATGCCATGAGGGTGCCCCAATGCCTTAGGGATGTCCCCTATGCCTTGGGAGTGTCTCTGATGCCTTGGGGGTTTCCCCCATGCCATGAGGGGTCCCCGATTCCTTGGGGGTCCCCGATGTTATGTATGGGGTGTCCCGGATGCCATGAGGGTGTCCCCTATGCCATGGGGGGGTGCCCGATGTTATGTATGGGGTGCCCCCCATGCCATGAGGGTGTCCCCTATGCCATGGGGGGTACGTGCCCGCTCCCACCGGCCCTGCACTGCTCCGGCACCTGCCCCGGCCGGGCACAATCCGGCCATTGAGGGGTGCGGGGGGATGGGGGGAGGATGAGGAGGGGGCCCTGCGGGGATGAAGGCTCCTCTGTGCGCGCTCACAGAGCCGGTTTGTTCCCGTTGGACCGGGGCAGCCGTGGCCGGGGACTGCGCTGCTGCTGCTCCTCCACGTGCGGAGGAGGATGAGGAGGAGGAGGAGGAGGAGGAGGAAGGGGACCCCTGGCAGGCTGGAGCAGCTGATGAAGGCTGAAATACCGGCCATTCACCCACCGAAGGCGGGGCACAGCGCCAGGCGGGGACCCCGGCTCTGCCACGCCGGGAAGGACAGAGCGACAAGGACAGAGGGACAAGGAGCTGCTTTGTGCCTGGAGCAGGGACAGCGGGAGCGCCGGGCCAGCAGCCCCTCCACCCCGCGCTCCCCCGAGAGGCTCCGGGCACGGGGACCTCTGTCCCTCTGTCCCTCTGTCCCCCTGTCCCGCTGTCCCGGTGGGGGCAGTTTGGGCTCCATGCAGGTGCTGCAGGGCAGGATCAGGGGTACCCTCAGTTTGTCGCCTCTCCCCGCTCCGGCAGGGCCCCCCCCGCCCTGGGCCCCTCCCGGTGCCACCACCGGAGCTGGCAGATGTCCCTCAGTGCCCCCGGGGTCGCTGCCCGGCTCCCCCCAGGCTCCTTCCAGCTGCGCATCTGGAATTGGTTTGCGCGGCCCCGCTCCCTGCTCCCAGCTGGGATCAAACATTCCAGACCCGCTGCGGGAACCCAGCACGGCCTGGCACAGGTGCCAGCTGCCCCCGGACCATCCTGATCCCTGCTCGAGTCCCCCTGCCATTTCCCAGCTGGAAAGGGACAGTCCCAGTGAAGACACCACCGGCCGGGATGCTCCTCCTGCAATGCTCCAGGTGACCCCGACCCCCCACATCGCTGAATCCCAAATTTCTCCGGGTTAACAGGGATGCAGCGCACCCCAAAAAGGCGGTGGCACCCCCTGGGTGAGGTGAGGGAAGAAGTCCCCCCTGCCACGCGTGTTACAGGGGGCGGGGTGAAGCCCCCTCTCCTCCCCCGGCCACCACCGGAGCTGGCAGATGTCCCTCAGTGCCCCCGGGGTCGCTGCCCGGCTCCCCCCAGGCTCCTTCCAGCCACGCATCTGGAATTGGTTTGAGCGGCCCTGCTCCCAGCTCCCAGCTGGGATCAAACATTCCAGACCCGCTGCGGGAACCCAGCACGGCCTGGCACAGGTGCCAGCTGCCCCCGGACCATCCTGATCCCTGCTCGAGTCCCCCTGCCATTTCTCAGCTGGAAAGGGACAGTCCCAGTGAAGCCACCACCGGCCGGGATGCTCCTCCTGCAATGCTCCAGGTGACCCCGACCCCCCACATCGCTGAGTCCCAAATTTCTCCGGGTTAACAGGGATGCAGCGCACCCCAAAAAGGCGGTGGCACCCCCTGGGTGAGGTGAGGGAAGAAGTCCCCCCTGCCACGCGTGTTACAGGGGGCGGGGTGAAGCCCCCTCTCCTCCCCCGGAGGTGCTGGCACGGGGGACCCCCGTCCCCTCCGGACGGGGAGCACACACCCTGCCCGGGGGGAGAGGAAACATCTGGCAGCGCGGTCCGGCTGAGCAACGCCGGAGCTGGGCCCAAACATCTGGATTTCCCTGGAAACCGGGGAAGGCAAGGGGGGGAAGAGCTCCCTGTGGGAAAGGCGGCGGGGGCTGGGGCAGGGGCTGGCTGAAGGGACCTGCTGGCGGCGTGGGGCACACGGGGACTGTCGCCCCTGGCCAGCGGGCCTGGCTCTTCCCCTCCCTCTCTGCTCTCCTCCGCCCAGGCCGAATTCCTCGGCAATGACATCTCCGTCCACTCAGCCTTTTGCCCTCGCTGCGCCCCCCGCTCCCCCCGGCCGCGGTGCCCTCGCTGGGGCAGCGATCCGTGCCCGGCCGTGCCCAGCTGTGCCCAGTCGTGCCCGCAGCCGGTGCAGGGCGAGCAGGGACTGCCCTGAGCCCTGGCCCGGTGCCCGTTCCTGCTGCCGTGCCAAGGGAAAGCGGTCGGGATGGAAAACATCTGCCTCGGTCTCCAGGGCGGGAGGAAAACGCCCCCCAAACACACACAGAGCGTCTCCTAGCAAAGCTCCCCGCTCCCGCGGGACGTGTCCCGGCACGGTGGCACCCTCACCCTCGTGCCATCATCCTCGCCCTCGCGGGAGGAGGAGGAAGGACGGGGCGGCCCCAGGGATGCCATGGGAACGCGCAGTGCCCGGGTGATGCCAGCGCGGGCAGCGATTCGGGGCTGCCTTTTGGAGTTGGCGCCTCTGCGGGGTTTGATCCGCGCCATGAGGCGTTCGGGGGGTGCGGGGGTGCTGAGGTGACCCGGGGGACCCCGGGGGTGGCTCTGGCCCAGCGCGGGATGACTCAGAGGAGGCTGCAGGGAGCTGCTCGCGGCCACAGCGTGACTCGTCATGTGCGGAGGCTCCAGGCCACGGCTGCAGGGTGGGGACGCTCCCCCCCCGGCTGCTGCACCCCCAAATTGCCCCTGGGAGGCCGCTGGAAGGGGCGCTGTCCCCCCCCACCCCGCCATGGCACCCCAGTGTCGGGGGGGACTCCCCGTCCCTCCTTGTCCCCTCACGTCCCTTCCCCTCCAGCTCCCACCCTGCAGCCCCCCGAGCCTTCCACCACCCCCTTTTCACCCTCTCCTCTTTCCCCGAACCCCCTTTTCCCTTCCACGCCCCCACGGACACCCGCACCAGCCGCACCCGCGTGGGCTCCCCCCGTAGCCCCCTCAGGCTCTGAACCCCCTTTTCCCCCCGTTTTTGGGTTTGTGCCCCAGCCCCGCGTCCCTTCGGAGTCCCCGTACCTCGCTGCCGGGACATGGTGCGGGAGCGCTCACATCGCGGCGGGACCGGGACCGGGACCGGGATGGGGATCCGGACCGGGACCGGGATCGGGATCCGGACAGGGATCGGGATCCGGATCCGGACAGGGATCGGGACCGGGATCGGGACCGGGATCAGGACAGGGACAGGGACCGGGACCGGGATCAGGATCAGGACCGGGATCGGGACCGGGATCGGGATGGGGATGGGGACCGGGACCGGGGCAGCGCTGGCCCGGCCCGGCTCGGCTCGCACACGCCCTGCGGGCCCCCAGCACAGCCCGGCCGGGGCGGGAGGAAGGCGGGGAAGGCTCCGGGTTCTCCTCGGAGCAGCACCGCCATCTGCAGGGACCCGGGCTCGCGTCCGGGGGGATTTTTGGACGAGAGGGGGAAGCAAAGCTGCGCAGCCAGGCTGGATAAAGCCATTTCACCTTTAATTGTAAGCAAAAAATCACTCTCACGCGGATTCTCCGACACCAGCAAATAAAATAAACTCTAACAAAAACAGAGAAAGTGAATCACTGTAGTCCAGTCCGAAAACAACCCATATTTATATATATATTTATAGATATGTCGTTTGTAGCAGTGAAAGGCAAGTATGGGCCAGTGAATTCCCGATAAATTACATTCTTTACATCCCAACAAGGTCTAGCGGCTGGAAAGTGGCTGGAAACAAAAACCGGGGAGCGTGGAGGGGCCGGGGGGTGCGGGGAGAGAGGGGTCCTGCCCAAAACGTGTGCCTGGAGAGGGGAGGGGGGAAGGGAAGGTGCTGCCCGGTGCCGAGCCCTGTCCCGCGGCCGGGAGGGGACGGGGACAGTGCCCGGCCCCCGTGAGAGCCGCGGTGCCATCGAGCCGTGCCCTGCTCCAATCCACCGGCCCAGCTCATCATCCATGTCAGTTCAGCGCCCTCCTGTGCCCCCCAAATCATCACCTCAGTGCCTTCCTGTGCCCCACAAATCATCACCCCAGAGCCCTCTTGTGCCCCCCAAATCATTGCCCATGTGCCCACCAAATCATCACTCCAGAACCCTTCTCTGCCCCCCAAATCATCGCCACAGCACCCTCCTGTGCCCCCCAAATCATCACCCCTGTACCCCCAAATCATCGCCCAGCACCTGGCACAGGAGGGACGGGGGGCACAGAGCTGGGGGGCTGGGGGGTTAAGCTGGGATTTGGGCCTGGCTTTGCCGGGAGAACGTCGGTCTGGCAGTGTCGGCCCCCAGGCTCTTCCCAAGCCTCAGGGTGGGGCGCAGGGGCACCTTGGGGGGCACAGGGGCACCTCGGGGGGCACGGCAGAACCGTGCCCGCCGGGCAGCCGACCCCCAGGGAGGAGGGGACCCCCCAGAACCCCCCTAGTGGAGCCGAAAGTAGAGCCAGGCACGTTCCTGGGGGGAAAAGGGGGGCACAAAGCCCAGAGACCCCCCCAAACCTCCCCTCCCGGCAGAACCGTGCCCGCCGGGGGGCAGGGGCTGCCCCGGGCCGGCCCCCCGTGCCAGGCAGGTTCGGTGCCCCCAGCCCCGTCCCCTGCAGCAGGAGTGAGGT